GCGCTTATACCAAACGCGCGCGCACCACCACTGATCTATATTATTAGTGGAGCGCACAATCCGCGCTCAGTCTCAAACAGCTTGTGAGCCACAAATACCAAAATTAGTGGCTAACTGCGCTAAAACGTTCAAATACATACAAAATTATGTCAAAATGCCCGTCTTGGCGAGTATCCAGTTAAACACGATCAGTTGGAACATTAAATAGTTGAGAAAGAGAACATATGTTGTGTAACAGTATATTGGGTCCGTGGATAAACTCTTAAAGGGACCGCAGTCCAATATTTATGCTGCTGTCTGTCATGTTAATCAAAGAACAAAAGACAAAGAAAATCATTTTCTGCTCTTGACTGAATACGTTTTATAACTTTAATGGTAAGCATTAATCTGTATTTAATTTTTACAATGAAGACTACAGAAATTAAAAACCAAATGTAAAATAACACTGATACGTTTTATAACTATAATGGTAAGCATTAATCTGTATTTAATTTTTACAATGAAGACTACAGAAATTAAAGTAATCAAATGTAAAATAACATTGGATGTGTTATTTTACATTTGATTACTTTAATTTCTGTAGTATTTCTTACCTGAATAAAAACTTACTTAACCTGAAAAACTTTATTTCATAGCTCTCTTTATTCTATTGCATATATTTGTGCTGTTGTTTGCCATTTTTTTTTACTTGTGTTTTTTTATGAAAATAAAACTTTGCGTTGAAGAAAAGTAGATTTTTGTTTGTATATGCTGCCAATTATAGTTCATAGAAAGAAAATCGGAATCTGCAAAAATCGGTATCGGCAGATCACACTAACGAAAAATCGGAATCGGAAATCGGCGCATCTCTAGCAAGAACGTTTCTTATGTCCGAGTCCCTTACTCAGGGTTTCCAATCCTTCTCCTGGAGGTGCTACCTTTCTGCAGTGTTCAGCTCCAACCCCAATAAAACACACCTGAATCAGCTAATCAAGGGTTTTAGGATCACTAGAAACTTTAGGGCAGGTGTGTTGGAGTAGGTTGAAGAAAAATTCTTTAGGAAGGTGGCCCTCCCGGAGCAGAGTTGCACACCTTTGCCCCTAAAAAAGATGTTTGATAGGATTCTGATCTTACTAACGTAATTATACGGGGATATACAAGGCTAACTAGTTTACTAGTTCTTCAGATGACCCATTAGATGACTAGTCAATTTCCAGGCCTCTTAAGGGGTCGAGTCCATTTCCAGGACTCCCAGCAGGATGAAGGGTGGACATGTTTAAGGATTGCACACCCTTGCTTCTAAAGAAAGATGTTTTACTGGGGTCTGGTTCTACTCGTACAGGGCCATAACTAGGCTAACTAGTCCTTCATACAACCCACGGACTAGTCAATTTCCAAAACTCGTACTTTTGCTAAAAGTAGATTTTTGTTTGTATATGCTGCCAATTATAGTTCATAGAAAGAAAATCGGAATCTGCAAAAATCGGTATCGGCAGATCACACTAACGAAAAATCGGAATCGGAAAAGAAAATTGCAATCGGTGCATCTCTACTTTTTACCTATAGTACTACAGGTTTGAAACTTGTAGTAAATAGAAACTTCACATTTTGAGGATATATGAGCATGCTCAGAGTTATAGGTTTTAAATCCCCAATCCATAGCTCATCATGCTATCAGGGACATGAATACACTGCAAGTCATGTGGTTTATTGAGGTAGGCTAATATCAGATTTTTACTCGTTTTTTTTTTTTTTTTTTGGCCTGGCAAACAATGAAATTCCTCTGAAAGGGAATCAGGCCATATCTAGAGACCAGATTGTCATAGACCAATCAGCAAGCAGTGCTCTAGAAATCATTCACAAACCCTAGTAACCACATAGCAACACATGGTAACACACAAGCACTTTTTGCATGTGCAATAAAATGTACATTAATAATCATCTTATTTCTATTATTCTTAACCAGTGTTGGGTGTAACGAGTAAGCTGTAACGCACTAAGTAACACTGTTTTGGTCTCTTGAACTTCTTTCTGAATCGCATCACAATAATGCTCAGCTAATACTTGACAGACAGACGTGAGAAATATATCTATAGAAAACTTGAAGTATCTACTTTTAAATTAACCAATTAAAATCGAAAACGAATATTCTCTGATTATGTAATTTGTATGAAACCAACGCAAGGTACAGTCTTTTCTGTCTCAGAGCTCATTATCTGCAGCCATACCTGCTCGCAAACGCCCTCATTACCTATATACAAAAATACATTAAAAAAAAAGATTAATCTACTTTTCATTGTTTTTGGAAGAAGACCTGCTATGAGGAATAAGACAGAATTTACCTCAGAAGAACAGCGCGATCTGATGCGGCTTTATTCAGTGGAGGATATCATTTCTGTAATATATTCTTACTTACATTAGTGAACGTGTTATTTTTACATAAACTTGTATACATTTTACTAGTTGGGCTTTTCCTAAACTAAACAAAACTGAAATGTGTGAAAGCAAGTAAAATATGGTGAAATATCATATGATATACATTCATATATATAGGCAGCCTATTACATATAGGCTAAATGTCATACAAAATGAGGATGTAAATATTTTGCTATCATATGATAAAAATATTAGATGTAATACGACATAGATATAAAGTAATGTAAATGTTTACATTGCAGCATGATGAATATTACAGTCTAGGAATGTTTAGATCAGTGTTTACTGATCTACTATCAGATGTTGATGTTTATAATGTGCTAAGCAATAAGAATTTAGTTTATAAAATATCAGAATGTTGTTTATGAACTGTGTGGTAATACAGACAAAACATATGTGCATGAAGGACATACAAAATCATGTAGTTTTTTTTTTGTTAGGAGTGAACAAAATTAGCATTAGTGACTGCTAATGCTGTATACATGTACAGTATGTCAGTGTGTATGAAATACGGTACTCATTGCTTTGAAAAGTTTAATGCTTACAGCTTGTTACATGTACCCCTGGTTTCAAAGACAAGGCTTAAGCCTAGTCCCAGACTAAAATACATTTCTGAGCTGTTTTAACTGAAAGAAACTTGCACTGACATACCTTAAAATATATCAATTCCATTGTTTTATCTCAAGATACACCAGTAATGTTTTCTTCTAAGGCACGTTTATAAAAGATACTTACAACTTGTTTAACTTTTCTTAAGCTTTTTTTTTTTGTTATTCAGATATTTTGTATTTCTGTTTGTTAACCAAAGAAGGTTAAATTTTTTATTAAAATGCTTAAGTATTACAGTTGTTTTAATGCTAAAAGGCTAAACTATTCCATGTTTAACTCAAACTGAAAGAATTAAGAGTTTCATTTCAGTTGTCTATGCATCAGTGTTTATAAGGATTTTAAGAAGTAATTTACGATTTGAATAATTAAGTTACTTATTAAGTAATTCAATTACTTTTCAGACAGAGTAATTAGAAAAGTAATTTAAATACAATATTGATGATGTAATTAGTAATTAATTACTTTTTAAAGGTAACTTACACTGGCGATAACAACCGGCTGGATCTACATTATTCCGCTTATTACACGGCTACTTGCCACATAAGTAAATAATTAGATACTTAAAGTAACTTACCCAACACTGTTCTTAACCATGATCAAGTGTAAAATGGGTCGACTGACTTTTTAGTCTGGAGAAACGGGGTACTTTAGACATTACATGTCTGTTGTGGATGCTGAAGACCTCTGTGGGGCTCCTCCAGATTTCTGAAACATTTTAATGAGAATATTGCCAGTGTCCTTGATCATTAGGGAAATGGGGATGACAGCTGGAATTTGACTGGTGTTACTATCTCTGAACTCTCTAAAGGCGTGTACCGTCTATGTAGCTGTGTGTGTGTATATTTTACAGGAGCTCAGGTGCTGTAGAGAGGCAGCTGTTGGGATATCACTGAGGTCTCACAAGAACTGTTCCACTTTTTCTTCTGCAGATCGCACTGAGAAGCGCTCCACCATGCCCGACTCACCTGCTGATGTGAAAACACAGTCCAGGTTAACTCCGCCCACCATGCCTCCTCCCCCCACCACACAGGGAGCTCCCAGGAACAGCTCCTTCACCCCCACTGCATGTGAGTTCTAGCACACACTGTACTCGGCCTATACATAGACACCTCAACAGAAGACCAATGCATATGAATGACACAAAAGTATAAAATAGTCCTAAAATACCTTAAAATACCTTTTTAAAATGAGTCCAGATCTGTTTTTGTTCTTCCTTGAAAAGTGTGGGTATCTAAATAAATTTCCAGCATCTACACTATTTTAACCAAGTCAGTCTAGCCAGATCAATGCAGTACAGATTTTTACATTTGGTTCATAGAAAGGGAGTTTATTGAGATGCATTGTTTCTTTTAAAAATTGTGCTGCGTATTTGTGTCGTATTGAAAAATTCCAATCCATCTTCCTGCTTTTTACAGTTCGTGATGTGTCAGTATTGTTGACTAGTTGGTTTAAAGGAAATGTGCTTCAAATGTTAAATCAGTTGTGTTTGCGTCCAATAGAGATTAGTACAGAAGCTGCATGGATTTCCAATCATATGTGTATATTGAATTTTCAGATTCAATTTGAGCTTCAATTGCATTAAAATATTTGAATTGACTGTATGCGACTGCTAAACTAGATGTGATGTGTTCTAATCGAGACACAAGGTCAGAATTAAAATGTTATTTTTTAAATCCTATTTCTGTAAAATGGGTGATTATTAATTATGTCCAAAATTGTTATTTTATACTCTACTACTTGTTAATTAATACTAATACTACTAATATTAATGTTTTATTTAAATAGCTCCTTTCTAATGTTCAAAGTTACTTTATAAAGACAAAGAACGACAAAACAGATCAGAAAATTACAATGCAAAACAAGTCAAAGTCGAAGTCTGCTTTATAGTCAATTCTGCCACATGTACATACAGAGAATTGAAATTGCGTTACTCTCAGACCCTTGGTGCATACAGTTAACACTTAACACTAACAGTAGACATAATACAGATAAATACAGTTTAAAAAATATATAAAATAACCTATACAATATAAAATAAGGATTTCCAACAAATATGGAAACAAAAGAAATCAAAACACAGAACAATCAAAAAATGTGAAAGTAAAGTGGTAGAATTATACAAGGCTTTAAGGCCGACTGGTTGACCAGTCATTCAGATAATCCATCAACTTTGTCGATTTTAAAGAATTTGTAATTTTGCACTCCCCTCATTACAGTCAACATGATTTCCCATTGTCTACTGACCAGCAGATTTTTACATCTGCCCGCTGGCTCATGGCACAAAGAGCATCACACATGCCAGCTCAGGGGAGCGCTAGAGCGGCTCACTATCAAAGGCATCCGTGCCACAGCACAGCACCATGTCAGTGTAATTGAGCAGTGGTGTGCTGTCAACAGCAGTAACACATTCCTCTCTCTGATGTTACATCCCTAAAAACAGATCAGTTGGACTTTGCAATTAGCGCTTATGAAAAAAGAGACAAAAAGCAAGCCGAGTCTGAAGAAATCCAGAGCCTTTTTAAAGGCAGACTCTAATTATACATTCTGAAGGTTTAACAAAGCAAGCGCTTTGATTTCCCCTCCATGTAATTGTTACCAGATGCAACTCAAGTATCTCGTTTCTGTTCTGTTGGAGGAAGGCCAGGCAAACGAGGCTATCACGCAGCCTAATCTCATTAGAGAGACGTTGATTCCAAGCTGCATCCCTCTGCCGCGTATGTTTCTCATTGTGGCACGGGGGGCACTCGACCACATGTATTCTCCTCCTCTGGACTTAATATGTCTGATGTATGGAAGCAAGAACGCATGGCTTCCTTCTCAAAACTGCCTCGTTCAAGCACCGTCAGTCACAGGCGTTCATATGCCTATGTCATTTTTAAATCAAATAGAACACATCTGTAGCTAAGTATAGCAACATAAGTGGGAAAAAAAAATCCACTTGACAAGATGTGCACTATAAGCTGTACCACAGCGTTATTTTCATTAATATGTAGTTACGGAATAAACAATGGCGAAATAGCAGCCTGTACTAGAGGAGGGCTGCTTTAATTAACCATTCCAATGGAAAGCTCTTTTTTTCAGCAGGCATTTGTTTATTTTTTGCTGTGTCTACATGCAGAGGCTTCCTTGTGTCCCCTCGGCTTCCGTGGCTCTTTTTAATTCGCTCCCCACTCTGCCTTATTGAAAAGAGTGACTGGCTTCCTTCTCAAAACTGCCTCGTTCAAGCACCGTCAGTCACAGGCGTTCATATGCCTATGTCATTTTTGACAAAGGATTGCTTGCAGCTTCTTTTTAAGGAATGTTCCTGGCAATTTTTAATACGAATCTTTTGGGTTTAGATCATTCAATATGCTTGGGTTAAAAATAAATGCCAAAGTTCTCTTTGTGGCATGTTGAAATAATTAAGTTTCTGTTTTCCAGTAACGAATGGCACCAGTCACTCTCCCACTGCACTGAATGGAGCTCCATCTCCACCCAATGGTTTCAGCAATGGGCCTTCATCGTCATCTTCGTCCTCGCTGGCCAATCAACAGCTGCCACCGGCCTGTGGTGCAAGGCAGCTCAGCAAGCTCAAACGCTTTCTCACGACACTACAGCAGTTCGGCAATGACATCTCACCTGAGATAGGAGAACGAGTGCGTACCCTGGTGTTGGGGCTTGTGGTAAGTCTGCAGTCACAAACTGTGTGGCACTTACTGGCTAAAATTCACCATCTATTGTGTATATGCATGTCATTGATCTTATTCTGAATGATTCATTCATGCAAACGTTTTATTTTTAAAGTTTCACTTTGTGTGAAATGACATTTGCAGGACTTCTCCAGTCATTTAAACAGCTTAACCCCCACCCTTGCAAGCTTGCATTCACCTGTATCTGAAATCTTATATTTCAGTCAACAACCAATGAATTGAACCAAGTCTCCACCCTATATTTTTTTCTTTTTTGATAATCTGTTTCACTCAGATGTACGTCACAATATGGAAGAAAATCACTACTTCCATTTCTTCACGACTTTAATGGGAAAATGGGAAGGATTTTCTATCATAGTGTTAAGTGTATATTCTGACTCAAAGTCTTTAGGAAAAAACAGTTATCTCTACCAAGATACTAGTGTTTATTGTCTCCTGAAAAGTTTACAGACAGTAGAAACTGATATGTTTTGCTTTCTTGATACCAAATCTTGTTTGGCTTTCATCATAGAAAATAAAGGCTTGCCCAACAACAATAAATCAAATAGAACACATCTGTAGCTGAGTATAGCAACATAAGTGGGAAAAAAAAATCCACATGACAAGATGTGCACCATAAGCTGTACCACAGCGTTATTTTCATTAATATGTAGTTACGGAATAAACAATGGCGAAATAGCAGCCTGTACTAGAGGAGGGCTGCTTTAATTAACCATTCCAATGGAAAGCTCTTTTTTTCAGCAGGCATTTGTTTATTTTTTGCTGTGTCTACATGCAGAGGCTTCCTTGTGTCCCCTCGGCTTCCGTGGCTCTTTTTAATTCGCTCCCCACTCTGCCTTATTGAAAAGAGTGACACACTTAATTAGCGCCGCCGATGCTGGAGAAAAGCTCAGGAGGCTTTCTGGCTGTCAAAACAGGCCGCTGCAATCTGGCCGAACAGATGTAAGCCTAATGTAACAAAATTCAGGTCTGGGAAATGAGGGGAGAAAAAAAGTGTATTTTTCTCAAATGTACAACTCCTTGCTCTCTTTCGCATCGTTCCTTCCGCTAGCTCTCTTGGAAATAACATGTAAAAAATTGAAAATAGTGTCCTATCAGTCCTATCAGTATGTTAAAAGATGATAGAGCAGAGAGCAGGAAAGATTGAAATTAGTAATTTCTCTTTTTACACTGCCGAGTTTAACAGGGGTGAGATATATGTCAGTTCGGTAGGGAATAAGACACATGTTTTATGTTTTTATCTCATGTTACATGTTTTATCTCGCTGAGTAATCTGTGCAGCGATACTGCATCTGTAGTTTTGTTTGCATACATGTTTGTGCATGTGTTTGTTGACGCAATGATGATGTGGTCAGCGCATGCACATGTAAAAGCCTCCAGATCAAACTTCCCCTTACGAGGCCTTTCACCACAGCCATCCATATGCCTCCCATTACAGTCTTCAAATCATTCAATCTTCAGCAGGATATAGTTTTGCCTCCAATAAGTAATATTATCACATAATGTTTTCCACATGTATTAATGCGTGCACCATCTTTTTTCCTCTCTCCCTGCAGAACTCTACTCTAACCATTGAGGAATTCCACTCCAAACTGCAAGAAGCGACCAACTTCCCACTCCGACCTTTTGTCATCCCCTTTCTGAAGGTATTGCACAAGCAATCTGGAAAACATTTAAACAACTGAGGCACAGATGTACATATTTCTCCCAGCTTTCGATTTTTTTCATCCCTCGCTTTTAAATAGCCTAAATGGATACATGGTTTCCTCATGAGCAAAGAGGCATCAGGTTTCTTGATCACTGGGACCTATTTTTATAATTTCTCTTTGGAAATACATGATGTGAACCTACATTATTCAGTGTAACAGCACCATATGGGCTTGTCCCACTACACAGTGTCTCTATTTATTCATACGTGCCGATGGACACCCTTGTTCGGCCGTCGCTTTTCTCACACTGCAAATTTCGGAGGGCAGGGCACATCTGAAACCATTACCACAGTAAGACGATCTGTTGTCTGGGAGAATATCAACCTTTGCCCTCTCTGCTGCCCATTTGTCACTGCGGCTCTTATTTCATTACAGTTAAATGTGTCTCTGGGCCTGTTTATGTTGGAGCACTTAACACGAACCATTCAAATAAACACTCTGCATATTATTCTTTCGACCAAGGGAAGTATTTGAGTTACACATGCCATACTTTTGTTTCACATTATCGTGTTCAAGATTAAAATGATTGTAGCCTGCAGAGCGAACGTATAATTTGTTAATTTATGACATATGTAGCAAATAGACATCAGCGCTTGATAGAGATTAAATTCTCATGAGCATATGGTGACTGCTGTATCCATCCACCCTCAATTGTTAGCCAATTGATCGTTTTCATCTGCTTGTAAGTGACAGCTATTACGCACGGCACTCCAACCTACCCGTTCTCCTCCCTCTTTGTCTAACCTTCACCCCCCTCCCCTTGTTTCCCATCTTTCTCTTGTGCTTTGCTTTCTTCCTTTCCATAATAATGAAATAAGCGACCAGTGGAGATGGATCAAATCTGTGTTGTTTACTCCATTAGATGATGATGGAAAGGGGTCCGACCATTTGATGTGGTCTCCGTTCTCGCCGCACACCGTTCGAAGGCATTTCATCTTGTCCACTGCTTGTCCTGGCCTGCTCTGTCATACAGAAATTGGTCCCATTAGGGGTTGCGCCGGTCACTGACGGATGCAGAGAAGCATACAGGGACACTTCCCTGACTCGCTCACTCTTGTGCAGCTCAACGCCATATGGTTACTGTATCATCCAGTCAGGAGGGGTGGTATCAAAGATGCAACTTGTGTTTTTTTTTTCTCGCTCCCTCTTTCCCTCTCGTCTAATTTTAGTGGTTTTCCTCAAAGGAGCCTTTAATGACAAATACCATATGGCTGTGGGAACAGGGGCTTTTATAAGTGTGCAGAAGCGCAGCTGCAACAATGTGCATTAGCAGCATTTTTTCATTAGGCTAATGTTGTCTAGCGACCCTCCAGTCAGAGTTGGGTTTTGCGGGGAAGTGTTTACAGGAAGGGCAGTGTGCATCACACTAATGATGTAATCCAAATTCGACGCCAGCTGACGGCCTTTGTGCTGATGGCGTTTGTTTATGATTTCTCTAAATGGATTCCTCGTCAGATACATTTGTAATATTTAGCCGCCGTTTCGTTCAGCAGGCTCCATAAAGCCTGTAAGCACATGTGTTCCTCTGCGGCTCTGTGCCTCATTGCTTAGAGACGTTCTCAGCGTGACATAGGCGGCGCTTCACCAGCTAGCAGTGCAGAGGAAGTGAGGATTGCATATACGTGGCAAACTGCTTTGCAGCTTGTGTTTGATACGCTGGTTTCCAACTAGTTGTGTGCTAGTGGACCACACAGGAGCTGGAGAACACACTCAGACATAATCGAAGTAAATGTCAAATCATTGCATGTTTTATAAACTTGTAGGATTGAATTAAAACATTGATAATGATAAACAATAAAATTGCAAACTACTGTTCTAACTTTTACTGATGAATAAGCTTTTCTCATTCATTATCTTGAAATACACTGCAAGAATGACTTTCTTCCTCAGTATTTTGTCTTGTTTTAACATTCTTAAAATAAGATAAATTAAGATTAAATTGAAAATTAAATTAAATGTTTCAAAATTAAGTGTTTAAACAAGAAATATATCTGTCAATGGAGTAAAAAGAAAACTTAGTTCTAAGAGAAAATCATTTTTGCATTGAACATGTTGTATGTGAACTGTCACTAACTATGAGGACCTCCATTTAATGAAAATCTGAGGTCACTGAGGGTCAAAGCAATTTAACTGGCCTCTGGTAATTATCATCATAAACTACTAACAGACCATTACCTCATACAGCTGGTGACCAGGCGGTCTTTCATAAACAATCTTCATCATTATCATCATTAACATTTATCAGAATAACTTTTATTTATTTACTTTTTTATATTTAACTTTTTTGATTTTTGACATTTAATCTTCATCATGACCAGCGGCTAAATTTTGGCCACATTTTCTTTAAAGTCTGTGCTTTCATTGTGCTTTGTTCAATATTCAATCAACGCACTGCTCCTAATTTTAGCCATTACATCACTGAAAAGGCACACAGTGGGAGTACACTGAAGAATATTGCAGAGCTGAAAAGATGTTTGATTATAGTCTTAGATCAGAGTCACAGGCCATAGAGAAAGAAAGAAAGAAAACAGAGATGAAGAAAGCACAGAAAGAGAGAAAATAGACATCATCCTCCAACTCACACCTTGTGTTGTTTAGATGCTGCAATAGTCCGACTGTCACTGGATGGGGATTCACAAAAACCTTTCATCTGCCGTGAAAATGCTCCTCAGTGTGTCTTTAAAGTGGCAAGGCCTCCAAGTGCTTTTGGAGAAAGCCAAGCCAGCTAGTAATCACGACGGAGATGCAGAGGAAATGAGACAGAAAGAAAGCTAACGTGCCTTCCCCCCCCCTCCAAACCATCTGCTTTGAAGATGTCACTTTCTATGTTGACCATGATTGCTCATATCAAGGGCCCAGGGCACTAATGCATGTTTCAGGTCACAACAGAGTGCTGCTCGAAACGGCACGAGAGTGTCTTTATTTTGGAAGAATGTACCTGTAATGATAATAATGAGTAAACAAAAAACGGTGTTTAGAGCCTCTGGCTATGGACAGCTTCATAGTGCTACATCTGCTCAGCAAATCCTGACCGCTATCTCCCCCTACAGGCCAATCTGCCGCTACTGCAGAGGGAGCTGGTGCACTGTGCACGACTGGCCAAGCAGAACCCGGCTCAGTATCTAGCCCAACATGAGCAACTCCTGATGGACACAAGCACCACGTCACCTGTCGACTCGTCTGAACTCTTGATGGATGTCAACGAGAACGGCAAGAGAAGAACGCCTGACAGGTGAGCCAAACTGTAAATTAACATCATTATTAGGGATGCACCGATACCACTTTTTCCAGTACTCGCCCGATACCGATACTTTTATTTTTGGTACTTGCCGATACCGAGTACCGATACCAATATTTTCATTGCATTTGTACATTTTTTAAATATTGGTTTAATCTCTAATAACTCCATTCTGATGTCTGTTGTCGGTGTTTCTTTGTCTGAATATGGCACTTATCACATGCTGTGTGGTATCGGCGTTTGGTATCGGGGCATTTTAACGAGTACGAGTAAAGGAGCTCAGTATCAGGCCCGATACCGATACCAGTATCGGTATCAGTGCATCCCTAATCATTATCAATCAGTCATGTAGTTTCGTTGTTATTCAAACAGTCACACTATATTTTCATTTGCCCATGCACACAAAAATATAACATTTATTTTGCTTTGAGACAAAATACCAATTTTTTTTTTTTTTTATAATTTACAATTGTAAATTAATTTACAATAAATAAATACATTTCAATTTTATTTAATATTATGTTTTCTGTACAAAAAGACTAATTTATGTTTCCAAGGCTGTCATAAGTCATTCTGACAGTTTTTTCACCAATTTAAATCAGCAGAATTTACAACAATGTTCAATTTATCACAAAACCACAAAGCTACATTTTTAAGTTTGCAAGGTATAAAAACGCATAATTAGTGGAAATCAGTTGTAATGACAATGAAGAATCTCTCACACCAAGAGCTCATAGTAATTTATTTTTGGGGGGTAAATTGTCGATAAATGTTTAATTGAGCATTCATTTGTTAGCAAGTGGACTTTAGGAACCCACATACAACTGTAGATTAGGAATACATGCTTGTAAAACAGCTGGAGGGCTGTAGAAATGTTGCAGGAGGTTATGAGTGTCTATATTGTCAATATTGTCATGCATCATTTGGATTCTCATCCCCTAATGGAGCAGAACCAGGAACCAGACACATCTGGAGAATGCAGGTAGATTCTTTGTAGGCTTCCTGTTGAGATGAACATGAGTGAGAATTCGCACTATAAAACTAGAGAGGCTACATGTCTGTTGCGGCCTGAGAGAAAAGATATAAAAGCTTTTATATATCAGTATTCATATATACTTTTCAGTGAGGAAATATCATTTTTAATGTGCTATCTTATATGAATAAATATCATCTCAGGTCCTCATGGTTATTAGAGAAGAATATACAGCTCTCTATTTTTCTTTTTTTGTTCTATCTGTCTTTTTTTTATGTAATACCTGCATTTTTGCGTGAGCTCTAATGTATGGCTAGGTGAGCCTGGGGACATGGCTGATAACACATACAGATGAGACTCAGCTCGTATACAGCTGGCTAAGCGCTTCTGTTTCTGCTTAGCTCGGCTCAGCTCGACTCGACTCTCTGCGCTCAGAATGAGGAGGTGCAAAATAAAGAGAAAGCAATATTGGAATTTGAAAGGGAGCAATGCTGTCCTTAATCACAGAGCACAATGTACGGTCACTTCAGTCTGATTAATATCAAAGGAATCGGGAAACTACGGCTACAGAGAGAAGCGCACCCCACAATGCATTCTTAGTACGACTCTCCTCATTTAGAAGAGAAATGTGTGCTGAGACTTATTTGAATAAAATATTCCATTGTGCTGCACAACCCCTATATATTTGAAAAACAAAAAAGCTGAATTCCCATTGAAATGAGGTTCAGATTCAGTTCACAGCTTTCAATGATCCCCACAAGAGTCATGTAAACTAAGGGAATTTAAGACGTTACCTAGGATTTAAAATGCTTACACACAAGGACTGTCAATGAGATCTTACTTGTAAAAAAAAAAGTAAAAAAAACAAAAAAAAAGTTTGGCCTCTGTAAGATTGTTTTATGTATTTGAAAGAAGTCTCTTATGCTCATCAAAGCTATATTTGCTTGATCAAAAAATACAGTAAAACAGTAATACTGTAAAATATTATTTTAGTTTAAAACAACTGTTTTCTATTTGATATATATTCACATACATTTCTCATCAATGTTGAAAACAGTTGTGCTGCCTAATATTTTTGTGAAAATGTGAAACTTTTTTTTTTAGAATTCTTTGATAAATAGAAAGTTGAAAAGAGCCGCATTTATTTGAAATATAAATCTTTTGTAACATTATAAAGGTCTTTACTGTCTCTTTTAATCAAATTAATGCATCCTTGCTGAATACAAGTATTAATTTCTTTAAAAAAAAAAACTGACCCCAAACTTTAGATTTTTGTAATTAAGTAGTTTCATGTTTGTTTACCAAATGCCACATGAAAACAAAGTACACAGTTTTTAATACATTTGAATAAGACACATAGACACAGTATTTTAAGCAAATAAAAATATTAACAACTATAAAAATATATATTGATATACTATAAGTAAAATTCTGAAATTCAGACATGTGTAATAAAAAAAATTACAATCTAAATAAATGAAAGAAAAAATCATAAAAATAAATGTTTTGTGGATGGGAAAATATCACATACCGTACCTGAATCAGAGACTCAAGTTCAGGAAGAATGGATAGAATTAGAATAGGTATTAAAATGTGTGAGACTGGGGTAAAATAAAGGCAGCGGAATTTGGATGTATGGGTGGAGGAGAGAGGTGGCTTTGAGGAGCATATGGACGGTGATGGATGCGCATTAGCAGCTCATAAAAGCAGCTCATTAGGAAGTTCAGTCTTTTTCAGAGATAACCGAGGGACAACCGCCTCACAACACACACACAGCGACTCACATGAGTACCAGCATCTGTGAACACCTGGACCCGTGACACATGAAAGTGAAGGGCAGAGCAATGTGAAAGCCCTAGGAATTAGGTGTACTGAGTGAGTCCTGTAAGTGCACATCTCTTAGGGTCCTCGTGTGCTCTGTCAAGACCTCTTTTTACTGACAACAAAGTGCTTGACGGAGGCATAGAAGCTGCTTTTCTACTTAGCACATTAGATGGCAGATTCTTACTGCCTTTCACATTCTCCCTCGACCCACAGTGGAGGAAAAGTACATTACATCAGTGAACTCACTGTCCTCAGAAGACATCTCAATGTCAGACAGTAGCCAAGTTTCCATCCAGTCTGCACTTGAGCTGTTTCCATACATAATTTCACCTATTGCACAAATTATATAGGCTAGTAGCCTATCTGTTCCTCATCCCTTTGCAAACAAAACTTAATATAGGCTATTATTAAATTGTATACATACAATATTAATGTGTCAAGAGTGGGTTTTTTTTTACTCTTTAGATCAATACTACTTGATCATCAAGCAATATTCATAAACAGGTGCAGTTGTATTATGATGATTATTATTATTTTGATTAACTTTTATTAGACTGTATTGAAATGGCTGTTCATTTTGGTTATTTCTTCTAACCTACAACCGACGCTCGTTAAGCGATTATTAACAGTTAACCAACAAGAATATTTTAAATTTAATTTAATTTAAACACCCATTAAAAATACCAAACATTTTTTTTCAGGGATTAATTTTACATGGGCAAAAAGCAGCATAAACAACAGAACACAAGGATTCACATGGTCTCATCACGCACCTGCAGCGCTTCTGCGAACGGAGAAGAACATAATAAAGCTATATATAAAAAGAATAAATAGGCCTATATGTGAAATATATTTACTTAGTAAATTAACAAAACAAAAGAAAAAACTGTGCAACAAGTATTTGGCTTTAGCCTATATGCAGAGTTTCGGTTCATTTTTGTGATGCGCTCCACAAAAAACTTCAGAAAGCGGCATCCTGTTTGTTTCCTATTTTACAAAAGCACAATGTTTTGTTTTTAGTGTGAATCTACACAAATAAAATAAATATTTTGAATTGTTTCAAATGATGTCTTACTCTTATCTATATCACCACAAATGAAGGAGTATGTAAGTTGTTTCCACTTTTATAAGAAAACATTCAAGTGATCATGCGCGCACACAGTTCTAAGCATTGCTAACACAGTCTATTCATTATCATAAACAGCCAAACATATTGAAATACCACACTTCTCAATTTAAATAGTCTGTATTCAATCTGTGCCGTTTAGCGTGACCACCATACTGCCGTGATATTATGCAAAGCACATTTTGTTTTACGTGGATATTGGAACGTGAGTGAAGTACAAAACCCGGTTTAGCCTACATAATAAATCATAGTTTGGCATCCAAATATATCGTAAATATGGAAATATTTGGATTCGTGCCGAATGTGAGAGGTTCTTGAGTCCAACGTCCAATTAAAAATGAATTTGTTTTGTCTTGTCATTTATAGCTTCTTATATTTTCATTCTTGTTCTGTTCTGAGATTTGTTATGGAGTGAGGGGAACTAAAATAGCGTAGGCTATAGCCTAGCTATGTTTATAATGTTTGTAAACATTTTGCTTTATTTACCAGTATTTCTGAATGTAATAAAATGCCACTTATTCATGACTTATCTTTTTTTTCTCTCTCTCTCAAAAACACAATTTTATTTCATATGTGTAGTGTATTTTTTCCCATGCAATGTTTTTTTTAAATATTTTGAAAAATTACTTTAAAAATACTTGAATGACATTTTAAACAGTTTAACTGTATTAATCGATCAAAATTCTTACTGTCGGTTAACGGTTAACCAGTTATTGTAACGGGGCTGACAAGACGTGAGACGTGCGGATCCATATGCAAGCTTTATTAACAAGAGAGGAGGTCCGAAACACAGGCAGGGTCGAACGGTGGCAAACAGGTATATGGCGGGACAGAGACAAGAATAGTCCTAGGGCTAGCGTAGGTCAACGATTGGCGAACAGGATCACAAGGGCGAGACTAAAGGGATAAATCCAGGAAAAACAGGCACAGATCAAAAACCGAGAAAACAGACAAGGCAAGACTAGGCTGGGCTAGGAAGCTAAAGAGGGCTCTGTAGAGTAGCTATCACTGCTGACGATAAGCGCATACAATACTCGGCCGAGAATGGTTGTTTGAGTGAGTGTTATATAGTGAGTGAGTGATATGAAACAGCTGTGTGCAATCAGTGCTGTGTGCAATCAGTGCAATGAATGATGGGATATGTAGTCCGGGGTGATATGCAACAGTGTGTAGTGCGAGAGTCAATGAAAATGGAAAGGGTGACCTCTGATGGCTAGCAGACGGAAGTTCATGGACCGGATTCATGACAGAGCCCCCCCCCCAAGGAGCGGCTTCCAGACGCTCCAAACACTTTACGATTCCGGAGGGCGGTGGAGTGGAGGC